CATAATAAACATAATATAAAAATTCAACAGATAGAATCACTGAAAAAAAGCAATWAAAAGCAAAAATAAATTGGATTATTAGGAATGAGAATGCTGTGAAACAAATTCATGCATAAAAATTTAATTCTTATCTCATATAAAAAAAAAATGTTTTGCTTTAAAATCCAAGCCCTAGTAATTATCTTTAAAATCAAATATTCACACAAATCGCCAAATGATGTGACAATTGATAATATTAAAATTATATCTTTATTTTTTAAATACATTTGTATTATTATTATCAATTAACTGTAGTAAACATAATTTTGTGAAAATATCAAACAATGTTTCATAAAAAAAAAATATTTTAGACACCATTTTATTTGTAAACAAGAAGTGTACATCATTTGTTTTACATAATGCATCTTTAGTGCATTGCGGCAGGCAAAATGTGTTTTGCTCAGCCCACCGTGTACTGGCATCCCAGGAAAACCCTTCACATAACTATTAACTGCTCTTTTTCTCGAAGTTACTTCTTTTCCATTAGTTAATTTAAGCATTTCATCCAATTCACAAGTTTTTCTTCTGTAAACAGCTTTGATAACTGATGAATGTTTTTCTTCTATTCATCTTCATTATTAGAACATTAGTAATACCATTAATTAAAAATACTAATGATTATTAATTATAGTATTAGTAATCAATAGTAGTACTTTATAAATCTTCTTCTGATTTAATTATTTCAGCATTTGGAGAATAAGATGACGCAAAATCTATCCTAGCACAGCATCCAAACATTGCTTCATAAGGTGATGTTTTTAAGCCTAATAAATAAAAAWAAAAATAATAATAACAATAAAAAAAAAAGTAAAATAAGTAGATACCAGAGTGGAATGTCCGATTTTTTTCATACTGAATGAATTTTAATGCTGATGGCCAATCCAAACTATTTTTTTTGTCCATCCAAGTAGATAACATTTCTTGAAAATCCCTATTAACTCGTTCAATGGATTCCTGACTTTCACTGTGCTTTGCCCATCCATAATCAATTTTAACTTCATCCCATTGATCATGAAGTTTGTTAATTACTGAAGTAACAAATTGTTCTCCACAGTATGATTGTAATATTGCAGGTGCCCCAAATAATGTAAAGATATCAATTAAATGATAAGCAATTTCTTCTGCACATTTTGATTTCAGAGGTTTCAATACTATGTATTTAGTTAAATGTTCTTGATAGTACATTATGAATCTATGATCGTTATGACACCGAGACTGCATGTCTATTAGATCGATTTGTGCTCGAGAATTGAAAGTAGGGTGTAAAATTGATTTAGGAGTTACTCCTATTTTTGAACGCACAGCTTTTTTATGACATTCAACACATAATTTTAAAAATACCATAATTGTTTCATTAGTTATGTTGCAATAATTATTTTTAAGTTCAGACACCATCCGATTTCGTCCACCGTGACCTATTGCTGAATGTGTTTCATAAAGAATATCAAACAATTCTTCAATTGTTGCATAGTACAATACTACATTTTTTTCACCGATAGGTCTAATCAGGTGTTCTTTGCCATTCATTACTAAAATATCATACTTACGTACTAGACGATAATCTTTTATAGTTTTCTTTTTGCCAACAGTGTTTAAGGACTGTTTTGATTTTTTCACCTGTTGAATAACTCTACTGTAATCACTGGTTGACAAAAAAGCGTTATTATCTTCCCGTTTATTCATTAAAATTGATTGTATTTGTTTATTAAAGTCTGAGCGCATGGTATCTTTATCTATGGCCATGGTTGAGACGTGAACTCTTACACTACTATTAATACTAMTAAACGTCGGAATGCAACACAAATACAGTGCTGAACAACTRTTAAAAAATAAGCTAATGTAATATAATTTTCACATCACGTAAAATAATAAAACCGATTGTAATACCACAGATCACAGTATTAATTATTGCCAATTTGCTATTAACAATTAATGGTCATTTGTCACAGACTCACAGATCTCATGATTCGACAAATTCGCTAAAAAATATGACAATTAACAATATATGAAAGAGGAAAGAACCTAAGCAAAATTATAGACTATAGTTATACTATATACAGTGAGTAGTTGTTCTTGTTATGGTGTAAAAGATAACRTTATCTTATACTTGATTATCAAGAAAGGTGCCAGAACAGCTGGCGCTGTAGCTGGTGCGTGGATATTGTAAATAAAATATTCATAGTTAATCATGGTCACGGTTGTATACTATATAATTGTAGATCTACATAATACCTATCACGGATTATTAGTTTTATCCACGGTCTTAGAAGATTATTTTGTCATGAGATATGAGAATTTAGTCTTTAGATCATATTATTATGATCATTATGATCTAAGAAATAAGAATCTAAGATAATATTAAATATTATAATTTATAATTATACTAATTATAACTTATTACGGCCTACCACTTATAAGTCACAATAGTAGATACCTTATTAAATTATTCAACCTTAAAAAAATTAAATAAATAACTTCCCTTTTTAGTTTTGGCATTATGGCTAACTATAATGCATGTGTGTTTTCTTTAAAATCTGTAAAATTAAATCCTGGATTAAATTTGCATGTGTAAGTTCATTAATTAATTATGCGTTTAGCGTTTATAGTGGCATATGGTCTAAGAGTAAGCTGATTGCTGATATCTAATTCTCCAGCTGGTAAATATGGTAGTTGGAAAAAAAATCCCCGCACTAGGAAAAAAAATCCCCAGTGGCATTATACCGGTAGTATTAAATTATTTTATAAATTTTATTATATGAAAAATAAAATAAATATTGTATATTATGTTAA